TGAAATGAAATTATTTTCATCCTTATAAAAAAAAACAACCATAATTCAGAAAGTCATTAATTATTAGCTTGGGGCAATATAAAATCTCCGTGAAACAAAATTCAAAAGGTGGTTGTAACTTTGATTATCAAAATATGCAAAGAAATCTGGATATTTCATTGCTCATTTTTGTTCCCATTTTGAAATCTTGTTGATTAAAAAAGTAGTTCTATCTCGGTATTTTTTACTTTATCAAGTTACATTAATAAGTTTTTTCAATAACTTTTTGTTGGTAGGAAATACTACTCCAAATTATAGTTCTTAATAAGGTTGAAAATTGAAAATATTTAATTCATATTAAAACAGATAGTTGTATAATCCAACAATCCCTTCTTGAATTATATATTTATTAATGAACGAATTTTGAAATTTATTCAACTCGATTTTCCTTCAATTTTGGCATCTTATCCATTTTTTAACAATGCAACGAAAGAAAATTGATATAAAATTATTATTCTATAATTTATTTTATTTATTTATTACTATTAGATATACATGCAGCCCAAATTGGTTTGGTGATTTTGATGGTCAAAATTATTACAATTTTGGTGGTAGAAAGTAGAAATTAATTACGGCATTCACTATTAAAAACATAAGTGTAACACCCCTTTACTACATGTGTAACCCCCTTTATGACGGTGTCAAAATACTTTGGGCTGCATGTATACTATTAGATATATGATAATGGTATCTGTTTGAATTATTCTGGAGCCAAAACATTATAACTATTAATTACAGCAAATTAGCTTGGTATTGGGTCACCTTATGAATATATGATGAAATGCTTTGTAGAAAAGTTTTATAAATATTGAATCAAGCCAATTTTATTGAAATTCTCAAAAGTAAAAAAAAAGAAGATTTCCCAATGATAAATGGTTATTTAGGAAAATATTTTTAAATGGGGGTTATAATATCAATGTTGAAGATTAGTCATTACAAAGTTTGTTGAATTAGGCAACAATTAAGAAGTTCTTTCCCTAATAAGATTTTAGGATATTTCTAAAGATGTTTTTTTTCATAAATCAAGTTTTTTTCCTATAACTTTATGAAATCCCCCTATTACAATGTTATAGAAATGGTTTAAATGCAATAATATTTCATCAAATATGCAATAACATCAACAAAACCCTTGTAATTTGCAAAATACAAAATTCAGAGCAATTTGTTGGTAATTATAATCCACTTAATTGGAATTTAAAATACAAGAGAGTTTATATTTAATATACACAGTGAGTCTCGGTGTAATGGATATTTAACTATATAGTACAAATTTAAAAACTATCTGCAAAAATATCCAATCAAATTCTTTTTTTTTTGCAGATAATTTCTAAATTTGTACTAGTTAAATATCCGTTATACCAAGACTCACTGTGTATGGCTAATACTAGTATAATAATTATGAGCATGCTGTTTGGTGCGATTCTTCTAGTTTATCTTTTTTTTTGGATACAGTGGTCATGTTTTTTTAATGTATAATAGCATCATATATTTGAAGTTTTCCCAAATAATTTATAAAAATATAAAAATAATAAATGCAATCATTAGTCTTATTTTATTTTCATTGTATTGTTATTGATATTTTAGGAATAATTATAACAGTCAGTAAATTAGCCATTCATTTTCATCAAAATTTTTTGACGAATATTTTAATGAAAATGAAAAATCATTAGATACAGATTTGTATGATGTAAAAATAAAAGTTGGTATAGAACCAAACATTAAAAAAGTATTATGCATCATTGGGTGTAACATGGCCTATGTAGATCACAACTAGTTAATATCACATAAAAATTTACTAATAAACTTTTTTTCAAAAAAAAGATACAACTATGAATTAAGAGAGATTGTAATAATGTGATGGTAAATGTGCTGACAGAGATTTTTTTAATTTTATTAGTAAAATCATCTAAAAATGTTGAACTTTGAAGCATATAAGCTCAATAACTAAAAATGGCTCCTCAATTAATCGTGACATATAAAAATTGAATTGTGGTTGCAGTTGCAGCATATGAAAATTGAATTCTGGCTAATTGCAGTTCCCATATTTATCGATAACTAAACAAAATAGAGCAAAAATCTTTCTATGATTTTATTCTTTGTGACTTAAGGAATAGGCTGACAGAAAATTTTTTTTTAATTTTATTAGTAAAAAGGGATTTATAAGTATTTAAAGTTGTGCGATTTTTATTAATTTTCATTTTTTTCTTTGAAAATCTTTTCCTTTTAAAGAAACTGTTGTTAAATCGGTCAGGGAGATTTCCAAATTTGGAATTTCTAAATACTGTAATAATCGACGATCTAGACTCGTTGTGTAATTCTAAAAATACTCTACAGTATAAGACTATCACAAGACTTTAAAAGCTTATAACTCCTTATTAAAAAGAAAAAGAAAAAATAAACCGATAGGATTAAAGCTAAAAACTTAAGCTTCATTTCCATTTGTTTACTTTTTTCATTTTATTAAAAAGTTTTGAGTTATAAGGCTTCAAAGTTAGACCATTTTATATATGTATATATGTAAATTGCAAAATTTCAGAATGATCCTCTCATGTTTTTCTAAACAGTTGGTAAACATTCAGTACTGTACACTTTTGCATTCCTGTACTGTATGATCTGCAAATCAGCATTTCTATATTAAATGTTACAAGTACAGAATCCATTTGATTGGTGAGGATGCTGTGTACTGTATGTCAATGTATTACTTTTTTAAAAAAAAATTCTATTTTTGTTGACCATACAGTACAGGAATGCAAAAGAGTACAGTACTGAATGTCTATACACTCTTTTCTAAAAGGCTGATAATCAGCTTAAAATTTTTTGTGATACAGAAGATTTTTCCAAATAAAGTAATCAGATTACTTTAATTGGAAAAATCTTCTAAATTTTTAAATTTCGGACTGTGACATTTATAGATGACTTGAACCATAGAAATAATGGCTGTATTCACAAAATGGGTTGGATTATCCCTTAAATCCTGTTCACAAATTTTTGAAGATTATTCCAGGATAGTTAAAAATCCTTTTATGAATAGATCGGCATTACACAGGTTTAAAAAAGATCAGTATTTTATTTATATGTAAAGAAAAAGTGCCACTTAGAAAAGTTGCACTGCATAAACTATATAACACCACCTCAAAATTTGCACAAATGTTCTGCTATTTTTGTTCTTTCCTGAGCAGAATTGGATTTGTCATAATATCCCAAATTTGTGATGATCTATATTTTAACTTAATGCATAACATAAAAAATAAAACTAGTAAAGATAATAATAAACAAATAATGTTTCTAACTATAATATAATTTATCATTAAAAGAATGAATAAAGGTGTAAGCCAAAAAAAATTTGGTTCTTGTATAGTATGTGGTAACCAAGGTATATATTATATAAACTTTACATTATATGATATCAATATATGTGAAGGTTCAAAACATTTTGTCACAGGACCTGTAACTTTATAACCTTGAATTAAATTAATCTGAATTCTTTTTTAAATAAAAGGCCTATTTCTCCTCTTTCAACATCCGGAAAATATAAAAAAAATTTTACATGTGTCAATTGTAAGTTTAATAATAAAAAAGTGTAAAACTTACGTCGGCACTGTAAGATTTACACAATATTAATTACGTTGGCATCATAAGATTTATGCAAGTTTACACTAAATTAATTTCCTGATGAAATAAAAAATTGTTTGTTTTTATAATTTCATTGATTGATTACTAAAATAATGATTTTCAATGATTGTCAATAAAACCAACTGAAAATTTTTGTTACAAAATCATATAACTTTATAATTTTAAATGTAATAGGTTTGAAAATATTGTTATAAAGACTAGACATTCTTATCTTTCAAATAAAAAAAAATTTTAAATTTTTTGGTATGTTAGTTACTAAGATATTAAATTTTAAAAATATCCAATAAAAATTATTTTGGTAAGAGTGTGAGGAACCCATTTTGCACACACCTTCCTGACAGAAATTTCTTCATGTAAGATGGTTTCAATGCTTCCAGTTGAAATGAGAACCCCTTGCTGAATATTATCAATTGTAATATGGGGGTAGTTATTTATAACGTCTTCAATAATATTAATGTTTGAAGGTGTGATAGAATTATGGGGATGTCTAGAAAGAGGGGCATTTTCAATGCTTAATTGTCCAGCTTCAAATGTCTCAATCCAACAATATTGTATGTTTGGATAATGCCTTGTCACCTTCAGCAGTGACCAATTTCATATGAATAAGGCTCTGAACAAATCAAATCAAATTGAATTTGAGAGTGATATGAATTGAATCAATTTGAATTTGAGAGTGATTCAAATCGATTCATGACTTGATTTGAATTGATTTGAATCAAACTGGATTCCTAAAAAATTTTTAATGTCATGTTAAATTTATATTTTTAAATTTGATAATTTAAATTGATATTACACAGTGAATCTCAATTAGTGTGCCTTAATCAGTGTTGTGACCCGAAACTCTGAGTTTAGGGAAAACCAGAAACAGAAACTAACAGAAACCACCCGAAACTAGTTTAGGTTAGTAGTTTATGTTTATGTTTAGGTTTAGGTTTAGTTTTCTGCTTAGTGTAAGTTCATTTTCCGAAACGTTTCGGGAAGCCAAAAGAGTTTTTGGTCACAACACTGCTTAAAATAAATGAATTTTTGTTCTCATGTAGAATGGTGTGCGTGATTTGTAACACAAAAAGCAAAAGCTTGCATTACATTCTCAGTTGTGAGCTTGTTTTGTTACACACTGTATATATTTGATCATTATAGAATAACATACACTCTTGGACTTAATACCCTGGCACAGACAGCATTCATATTCCAATTTTTTACAAAAATATAATTACATTACCCAAAATTTTGTATGACTTCCTTCCCTCTATTATTAATTGTTCAGGGTCCTCATGCATGTAAATATATGAACAAATAAATATATTGTTGTGGAATTTGTTGAGCTTCTACTTTGGTGAAGCCTTGGTATAAATTGCTCTTGTAATCACAATACATGAGACAACATTCAATGACAAATCAACCTATTGACTGGTAAAATTTCATGGTTTATTCAAAAAGACCAGCAGAAAAAATTAAATTGACAAATTAAAAAAAATTTATTATGAAAAATTATTTTTTTAAAAAATTATTATAATTTTGCATTTGTGAATAAATTAACCAATTTTTCATAAATATTCACAAATCAAAAAAAAAAAAGATATTATTCAATTTTACACTAAAAATTATTCAATAGTTGGTTAATGATGGATCTTTTGATTTTGATGATTTTATTTCATTTAATAAAAGTTGTATTTGATCCATGAATTTATTTTCAATTTTCTTAAGGCCATTCCTAAGTTCACTTTCAATTTCCTTAAGGTCATTCTTAAGTCCACTTTCAATTTCCTTAAGGTCATCCTTAAGTTCACTTTTAATTTCCTTAAGATTATCATCATTCTTAAGATCATTTTCAGGTTTAGGCATATCCACAAGTTTCCTAAGATCATCAGAAATATAAGGTAAATACTCAGGATCTTCTTCACTATTATCTACCTCTCTTATTTTTTTTCGAATATCTTC